CAACAACAACAACAACATAACCACAATGACAAGCATGCAATTCTGACCCACTATAATGTAAACCCTACTAGTGTGCAGATGTATATGTATATACAGATATAGATATATATATATATACACACCACATATCCTGCCCCAAACACTGACCCCAAAACACCCTATAGATCCCTTTCGAGGAAGCCTGACAGACCCTTCTGAAGTAAGCCTAAAGCCCAACAAGCTCCAATCTTCAAGTCCCTTTTCGGCAACATCCCGAGCCAGCTCGCTCCCTAAACCCTAAACCCTAAACCCTAAACCCCTAAAGCCGAACACTGAGCCCGCCGGTTCGCTCCTCTGGTCTGCGGCCGCCTCTGCGCGCTGTAAGTTCGAGGCTTCGGGGGTTCATGGGCTTGTAGGGCAATGTAGGGTTTAGGGCTTTAGGGGTTCATGGGCTTGTAGAGCAATCTAGGGTTTAGGGTTTAGGGTTTCAGAATTTGGGATTTCAGGGTTTCGCGTAAAGGGGTTTTATTTTCGGGTCTATAGGGTTCAGGGTTTGTGGGCTTATGCGGATATAGGGCTTCAAAGCTTTAGGGCGTTGACGGGTTTAGGGTCTAGCGTTGAGAAGTGAAGTTGTTGGTTTTAAAGTTACGGTGGAGCTTGCGTCGCTGCGTGGGGGTAACGGCCTGCTGATAGGAGCAGGGGACTTTTTTTAGTTGGGTTTTAATTGTAAGACTGTAGGAGTTTGAATATGGATGCTGCTCCCAAATCAAAGTGTCGACGCCTCGACATGAAGAAGTTTCGTGCCCGCCCTTGCGCGGTCTTGCGCGCATGGGGGGTTTCACACATAGACCGTACAGTAATGCCCTGATACCTACCCTACTCTTCCTACAATAGGAAGGGTTCAGCACGGCATCCATGCGCCAATCTGCATTACTAAGTTCGTGTAATTATTTGCTTATATGTCTTACGGCACCTTCAGAAACCCTAACGCCCAAAGAACCTTAAACGCCTAAACAACAAACAAAGACAAAGAACTTCGCAATATAAGCGCACTGTTTACTAGCTAAAATAGGGTTGGGAGGCATTTTGTAGTATAATCATATGAGGAATTCCCCAAAACAGCAACTTGGTAATGCCCTTATATAATAGAGCCCTTGTAGAAACACTGATGGAACCCTAAAACCCTCGCACCAGAAGATCTGAAATCCTACGAAGCCTGAAGATGGCTGAAAGTTGAAGGCCCTTGAAGGAGCCATGCCAAAACATGGGGCTTAGGGGTTTAGGGTACTGCTTACTGGATCATACTTACGGGGTCCTGGGGTGGGAAGAATTACAAATAATCCCAATATAAGTATTGGTGCAGTTGCGGAGGCTTGGGCCTTACTCCAAGCCTGAAACCCTTTGTGCCACTGGACTCAAGTCTACTTGGAGGATCATGGGACTTAGCAAGTAAGGTTATAAGTCCCCTAATTGGGGTTATAAGTATAGTTGCCTTAGTTATAACCCTACTTACTAAGTCCCATGATCCTTCAAACAGCCAGAACTTCCCTCCCTCTGTCCTGTTGAGAAAGCCCGTCAACCCCAAAGCTGAAACCCTTCAACCCCGCCTAAACCCTTCAACCCTCGAGCCGGAACTCTGAAGCCCTAGTATAGGGGCCTTAGTGAACTATGGCCACAAGAAGGAACCGCCAAAATGATAGAGGTACTTATTATATAAGGCCCCTATATTACAGCCGGAACTCTGAAGCCCTGGGCCCAAGAGTCGGATGCCTGGGATTCCCATCGCTCGGAGAGATGCCTCACGGAGGATGCGGCGTCGACATCCAGTCCTGGCGAACTTTGCTTGCTTCTGCTCTTTGCCGCGGGGATACTTTACTCTGGGTTCTTGAGGGCTTCTGTGGGGTTAGGGTTTTAAGTTTTCTAGGGCTTGATACTTTCGTGACAACAGAGATCTGAAAACATTACCACTCACTCTCGAGGGTATCTCAAGCATAACGGTCAGCAGGCAACTCTTTGCCGCACCAGCCTGCGCTACAGCTGCTGGTTGTGCAACAGGCTCCTTGGCCAGTCTTGGCCGCACCTCTCTGACAGATGCCGAATGCCAAAAACCAGGCATGAAAGCCTGCATGCAGGTGATCCCTGCTCCCTGGTCTATACATGGGCAGAGCCTGTAACTTGCATTAATATCATGCCGCCGTCCCGAGCTGTACACGCAGATTATACGAGACTGCGACAGGTGTCCCCACCGAACTTAGCAAGAGAAGAGAGCATCTGCGATGCTTAGATAAGAAAGCTGTGCATGAACCCCAGAGGGGTCGTGAGGCTTTTCCAGAGACGTACTTACGTCTCCAGGAAGTGGACAGCTAAATAGCTTCAAATTTGATCCACTCAAAAGATCGCCCGGCCATGGACGGTTCAATGCGCGAGCAAGAGGTCATCCCTGGTGTGCAGTGTGGAATCAGTCTTCGCTCTGCGCTGGTGTCTTTCTTCCACCGGCTGGACATCATGGTCCTCGTGGTCCTCGTCAGACCGTGACTGAACCTCCACAAATGTGTGCCTCACGACCACGTTGTGCTGACGTGACCTTCTCTGGGCCCGCTCAATTCGTCTGTTCAAGGCCTCACAGCCCGAGCGAGGAATAAACCTTGGCTTCGAGTTTTCATGGACATTGGGTGCTGTGGTGCCACCATTGGCATGGCGATATGCAGTCTTCTGCAAGGAGAAGGCCTGCACAAAGCGGGGCCGGATCTCCCTCCACTCTTCACTCCGCACGAGGCATTGATATGGAACCACCAGGCGTCCATCCAGTCGGTCGTAAACCACAACAGGGATATCCAAGCTGCGCAGGAAATGCTGGAGGTATGTGGAGAAACGGAACTTGTCGTCACCGTCCCAGCTCGGGTCGAAGCGAGTCCATACAGGGAGGCCAAGCGCCTCACCAGCTGCGATGGTCACTGTGGACTCTGTTGAATCCGCCTGGTTGGGCAGGAACGGAAAGCCGCGTTGCCAGGACTGAATTGTCAGGGTCACATAGGCTTGCTGATCAAGGCTGCGTAGCTCTTCAACCCCTGGGCGATTGAGCCACCACTGGCACGTCCTCCTGCATGACTCGATCATCAGCCCGAAGTAGTTCGTGGCCCAGCGTGCAAACTTGTCCGCCGACACCGTGAAGATTCCGGAAATGTGGAATTTTCCGTCTTCTTGCGGGCGACAGTGCAGCAAACCTTCCGGTGGCTCGCCGGTGTAGTGGAAGAGGCCGGTGCTGCAGTCTCCTTTCTTGGGGTAGTCGCGAGTGATCTTCTGCAACGCTGTACATATCCCATCACCACCTACGAAGGAGAACTCCAAGTAAGGTCTGGCAAGCCTTCCGAACAAGACGGTGAGAAGGCGAAGCAATCCAAAGCAGGAGAAGCGCTTCATGACCGCCTCTCCAGGGGCCAAAATCTCCAACAGCTCGATCCGACCGAAACGTTCTCCACAACGTGCCTGGTAGCGTTCTCGCGTCTCTGGCCGGATGAACATGCAACTCGGATCTTCTGGAGGATTGTTCACAACAACATCTTCCATGGAGCACTTGATGATGTGACCCCCCCAGGGGCACTCGCGATGCGACAGGGAACTTCGCCCCTTGTCTATAGCAACCTCCCAGCCCTGGGAGGAAAGTAGGTTTGGTACGAGCTCGAACCATTCCTGGTTGCACTCTGGTGGAACAGCCATGGCTCCCACGACCTATGTGCCCCCTGACACTCTATACCTATGTGATCCTATGTAGCCTCGAGCCGGAACCAGGTGTAGGATATCAAACTGTGCTGTCCATCTGAGGTAGCCGTGTCAGTCTCTGAAATACCCTTGTCGGGTCCTCGCATCTTGCCACTGTCGATGACAAACCGGATTCCGTCGATCGTCACGGAAGTCTCTGCGATGTTCGTGGCAATGACCACCTGCAAACGTACGTCTGTGAGAGTTGGTGCTACCCTAACCCTGAAACCTAAGCTCGAAACCCTAAGCCCTAAGCCCTAAACCCACAACCCTAAACCCCAAATCACGGATGAACAAGCTGGGAGCTTCAGGACATAAAGGACCTCGTTAATGCAGAGTCCCGGGTAAAAGGATCCCGTCATTAGTAAGGATTTTCGTACTCAACTTCCAAAAACGCCGGAATAAAGAAGTCATGATGATTGCCAACATTACCACCAAAGACTTTTTGTAATTGTTGAGGCCCCTATACTATGAAGCCCGTGGCAAGCAGTATGAGGCCTTGCTCCGGGGTGCCGGAGACTTCTGACGTGAGGCTCGTTCCCAGGATTGCAAACGTGAGGGTTTGGGGGTTTCAGGGTTATAGGCCTAAATCCCACAATCTTTAATGTTACTACTCATAAGAACAATATCGTTACTGATGGAATTTGATTTGATATTATTCCGATTCTTCCAGCATTTCTATTGGTATTATCCTTGCAGATCGAGGAAGTCCTTTCTCTCCCCTCAGCTAATCCCGTACTAAGGGACAGCTTGGCAATCCCAAACTGTGAGCCCGAGCTCAGCTCGAAAGTGCCTGCGGATCTATCTGAGTCTATGTGGGTAGTTTTCTAAATTAGGGTCCATTTAAGGTTCCTTTGCATAAAGGTGCCGCCTTATTTTGGGTTCCGAGAAAGGGACCCTAATTTAGAGAACTACTCAGCTGCTTTCTGCAGGATAAAACAGACCTCATTTTGAAAAACAAACAGACCCCCAAACCCACTGCATTAAAGTCCGTCAACCGCCAAGGAAGCCGAGAACGCCTAAACCCTAATTCTCATGACCCTAAACTGAAACCCTAAACTCCCTAAGTCCGCGTAAATCCTAGACCCTAAATCCTAAACCCTAAAGGGTTTAGGGTTTAGGGTTTACATCCCAAGCCTTGAAATCCAATCCGTGAACTTCCCCGTCATATCCAACTCCGACGATAGAAATCCTGCACCAGAAACCGCAGAAAACAGCACAACACATCCTGGTTTAGGGCTTATAGGCATCTTCTATCACTGCACCAGAAACCGCACAGAAGCAACTCTACAGACGCTGCTCAAAGGCCCTACAACCACTCCTACTACCGCCGATACCTATGTAAATGTCCACGGTCTTGAAGCAGAACTCACCCAAAAGACTACGCCCAGAAATCCTCAACGACCCGTAGAACCCTGAACTCCGTCACCTTCCGCACTCCCTGCGGCGCGATGCCGAACACTTTGTCCTTCGGCATGCGTAACTGTCCAAAGGGGTAGGTTTGTGCGAGGAGTTCAAAATGCTTCTAACAAGGGCTCTACAAAGCGGCGATAAGGGTCGTATAGAGGATAAGAATTTATTGTGCGAGAATAGAAAAATAGGGTTGTTGGTTTCAGGGCTGCAGGGTATAGTATAGTTTCAGAGAGACTTGGGGCTCAAAGGCACCCTTCCGGGGTAAAGCAGACGCGAGGTTGGACATGACCACCCCTACCTATAGTCTCCATTGTAGTTCCTCTTTTGGGTTTAACCAATTATTTATTAAGGATTTGATAAGGTATCCCCAAAAAGGAACTACAATGGAGACTATAGGTAAACCCTAAAGCCCCTGATCCTTCCCGGAAATCATAAGCCCAGCTCTGGCGGCAATCCTCTCCGTACGGCCTTCACCTATGCCGCCTTAGCCTTAAGGCCCCATAGTAGTTCCTTTTGGGGATTACCTACTAGGATCCTAACTACAAGCTACAAAAAGTAGCTACTATGGGGCCTACGGGTAGCCCTATCGATCGCTGCCTACTTCCCACTTCGAAGACAGCTGCGGGGGTTTGAGACAACACGGATGCCTCGGTAAACCGGGAAGAACAATGGCAGGCTCATTGGACAACCACCACACAACCCTAAACCCTAAACCCTAAACCCCCAAAATCATGATGTGATAAGCCATACGTGCCGGAATCCCAGGTGCCAAGCCAGACTGAAGGGCCAAAGATGTCATCGGCGGCAATGGGAGACTAAACCCATATTCAAATTTCTGTGTGTCGATTTATATACGCACTTGTTTACTTACTTAATTGTTCTTGCTTATTTAATGGTACGCATGCATATAAAAAAGTACATGAACATGCACAAGCACACATAAGTACAGACACGCATATAATAACAACGACATACATGCATGCAGGCATGCATGTACGCATGAACATGTATGTACGAATGAGTGTGCATATACATGTACGTATATATATATATGTATAGATATATATATATATACATGTTCTCATACAAGACCCTAAATCCCGACAGTGGTCATCATAAGAGTTGGGTCCTGCGACTCCACCGGCATTTGGGAGTGCAGCGGCAGAGGGAGCCACCTCTAACACGCATCAGTACCCTAAAGTGTTGGATCTGGGGTGTAGAGTATGGGAATGTATGAGGCATCGGGTGTAGGAGTTTTTTTGAAGGACTCTAAGCCCTAAGTATTGAGTTTTTGATAAACTGAGAAGTTGAAGTTCAAATCGTCCCGAGCCAGCCCGAAGCCTTGTCTATGTTGGCTGCTTTCTGTTGGTCTCTTGCGGCCTCGGGGCGTGGAGTGCTGGGGTTTGTGACTTGCTGTGTTTTGCGGTTTCACATCCCAAGTCTTATAAGGCGCATAACCTTAAATCCCAGTTCTTAAACGGCGCCAAACCTTTAATCGTAATTCTTAGAAGATGCAAAACCTTCAAATCCGGGATCCTGTGGCCTCCGCGTGCGAGCAGCCATCTCTGAGACAGCTCCCACGAGAGCCTCGATCCTGGCTGTGACTAGAGGAAGCTGCAATATTCCAAGGTTAGAAGTATTTTTTTTCCAACCCTCTCCGACGCCCGCGCTCGGCAGGTCAGGGCACTAGCGACAACCTCGAAGTATGGGCCCCCTAATATGGAATTTTAGGCCTTTCTAGGGTCCCTTATAAGGGTATATACATATATATATATATATGTTTAGGGTACAAAGTAGGTATGTTAGGGTCCCAGGGTTAAGGGTCCATACTAGGGGCCCATGGGTTGAACCCCTTAGAAATATGCCTTGTAGACGCTACCCATAGGCCCCATAGTAGTTGCTTTTTGTGGCTTATAGTTAGGATCCTAGCAGGTAATCCCAAAAAGGAACTATACTATGGGGCCTATGGGTAGACGCTAAGCCCAAAACCAGAAACCCGCATTTAGAGGTCAGAGGACTCGGAACCAATGCGAGGCTGCGGCTGTGGCTGTCTGTCTGTGTCTCTCTCTGCCTGTGACTGTGCACGTGGCTGAGAAGGTGGGCGGACTGAATTATGTCAAATGCAACAGTTGTCTGTGGCAGACAAACAAGAGATACCAAAGTATGCACAGGTCTTTTGCTGCTAACATGTTACATGTACGACACAGGTGCAACAAGTATGCAAGTTGTACGTTTTTCTGTATACAAAGGCATAACGCGTATATCTATACAGATCTATGTATACTATCCATCTATAGTCTATGTATCTATCTACCTGTACTTTTATTTATATCAGACCAACTTCTTATAACGGCTGCTGTTCGTTCAACCCGTACCCCGCCCCAAACTCTTCACGAGCTCGGCTTCCAGGGAAAAAAAGGCTCCGAAGGTCGAGAACATGTGCAAAAAGGCCGGCTCAATGATTAGGTTTGGGGGCTGAGAGTTTTAGGATTTAGGGCTTTAGGGTTTAAGTTTAGGGTTTAGCTCCATGATTAATGTAGGGGCCTCAATAGGTAGCTATAAGTGCAGGGTTGTGGGGCTCCACTGCCTTGCACTTTTGGCAGCAATGGGGGTTTCGGGGCCGAGTGAGGGATTGCCACTTAATATATACTACGTCCACACAAAATAAACTGTGAACATGCATGGTTGCTGTTGTTTGTTTGTTTGTTTCGGTGTTGCTGTTGCTGTTGCTGCTGCTGCTGTTGCTGTTGCTGCTGCTGCTGCCGCCGCCGCCGCCGCTGCTGCTGCTGCTGATGTTGCTGTTGCTGTTGCTGTTGCAGTTGCTGGTGTTGTTGTTGTCGTGGTCGTTGTCGTTGTCGTGGTCGTTGTCGCTGTGGTTGATGTTGTTGCTGCTGCTGCGGCTGTTGGTGTTATTGTTGTTGTTGTTGTCGTTGTCGTTGTCGTTGTGGTTGTGGTTGCTGTTGCTGTTGCTGTTGCTGTTGCTGCTGTTGTTGTTGTTGCTGTTGCTGCTGCTGCTGCTGTGGTCGTCGCCATTGCTGCTGCTCATGACGACATTGATGATAGTCGTTGTCACCATCGTCACAATC